CTGCTCCACCCTGGGGCCGTCATTCCACTACGTGGTCTCTCATTCCATCCTCAGAGTAGTGTATTTGAGCCCAGAGACCCTAATGGAAAATCCATTCCGCATTTTTATTGCAACTGTACTTGTACCCTAATGTTTTCTAATGGAGCCCATGCAAGTCAATTGACATTCCTGGCTCCCATGATTTCCAATGGGCCTTCCAGCGTCTCCCATTGCAATCCTGTCCTTCCTTTTAGTACATCCCAAAATCTTTGAGCCTTGAGGCTCAGCTGTGGCTCAGTGGCAGAACATCTACTTTAAATGCAGAAGTTCCCACGTTCAATCCGCGGCTGAAAAGCTCTGCTAAATAGTGATGTGAAAGATGCTCATCCTGAGAACCTGGGGAGTTGCTGCCAGTCAGAATACACAACGCTAACCTTGATAAACGAAGGTGGCTGCATATTTTGAAGCAGACTTGAGAAGACAGCCTGCTCTCTGTAGGATGCCACACCACCGGCCCTTAGCTCTCGCTGGAATTCTATACCCGCCTTTCTAAGAACCAATCCTTGGCGGGTAGCTATCAATCCAAATCGTTCACTTCCCATTGGCCCTTTGCTTCCCCCGCTACTCTCCTGCCCCTCCCTCCATCGCTCTTTTGTAACCATTGGCAACCGACTTGGTTACGCGTCCCTTCGACGTTCCGTTGTTATTGAACTACTCTCTAGTCCGGCCAATGAGCGGTCTCCACCAGAGTCACGTGGGGGAGGATGGCGTAGGGAATGCTGTCACGTGACCGATCGAAAGGCCCGGCACTCGCTCTGTCTGAGTCTGTGGCCGCTTTGAAGGTACACGGGGGGGGGGGGGGAGGCTGTGAGAGGAGGGGAAAGGACTTGGTAAGGCCCTGCGTGGCAGCTTTGGGGTAATATCGACTAGAGGAGATCAGGCCTTGCCGTGAGGCTGGCTGTGATGTGAGCCGTGGAACGACTTGGCTGCTGAGGGTGGCCGAAAGCTGTTGCCGGACTCTGGCATCGCTCATTCCGCCGCGACTTTGGCGCTGAAAGCTGGGTAAAGGGGTAACTCGTCGCGGGTGGGGATCCTGTCCCTCGTGCGCCTCAGAGCTTGCTCATTGTCGGCTGACAAGGGTGCGTTTGTGTGTTGCAGAGCATACAGACAGCAAGTTCAGCCTAGAAACAATCAAAGCCTAGCCTCGGCTACTTTTAAGTAAGCCTCGTTGAGTTCACTGAGATTTACACCATAGTGAGAGGTGTAAACATTTCTTTGTTGAAAGCTGGATTTGTGTCTGTCGCGTTTTTGTTGTTTACACTTTTTGATGTATGCATAAAGCAACTTTCAAAAGGGTAAGGTGACAAAATCCATGTGGCACGAGCAGACATGCAAAAAACTCAAGTAGTTTTTTACAGAAGGAATTTTGTGGCCGTGAATAAAAATGTAATAGGAATCTACCCTCAAAAAAATCTTGCACCTCTGATTTCTGACTGAATAGTAGTGTGTATGTATGTGTGTGTATAAGAGACCTACCATGCCTGTGCCCTTCAAGGATGTAAACAGGTAGTTCTGATTTGCTGGTCCTTAGAAATATTGGAAAGTTGGTCTGCAAACTAGGCAAAGTATATGCATTTTAGCAGTATGCTGTAAAATCTTGTGAAAATCTTGGATCCATTCTGTCCTGATGCAAAAGGCTGCCAGTGAAGAAATGCATGTTTGTAATTTTTAAATAGATGCACTTCTCCCCCTTCCAAGATTTCATCTGCTAATCCCTTTGACAATCTAGTAGTGTGTTGCTTTGCTTAGAGGTAAAACATTTATATCTGGCCAAATGCAAGTTATAGGCTGCAATCACACATAATAAATAATCCACTTTCAGTGCAGTAAAATCCAGTTGGAAAGTGCACTGAAAGTGTATTGAAAGTGGATTATTTTGTATGTGTGACTGCAGCCATAGTGCTCCACTTGCTGTTTTCTATAGTGTAAATGTTATTTGTCAAGCCACAGCACTTTTCACTGGGGTAGCTGTGCATCTGTGTGAAAGAAACTCAATGGAAGACAGTGTTTGGCCAGTTTTATAGAAGGAACTCTTTCCTGTTGCTGAAGAAACAAGCTTGATCACAAGTGGTTATTAACAGTGACTTTTCTCATTCTTTCAGCCACAAGACAGCATCTCAATTGCTTTGTTGTATGGTGCACAGTCTTTGACGGCATCTTCAGGACCTGTCTGCATACTGCATCTGTAAATCGTTTGGTGCTTTGAATGGCTACTGCATAGTGATGTATAGTCTGATGGCTAATTGCTGCAGCTGGCTAAAGAGGTGGAGGGAACCTGTTAGGTAAATTTAAACAATGTTTAGAACAGTCTCATTCACCGTTTCTTGAAGTGTTGGTCTTCAAGAGAGATTCTGTTACAGAGAATGTCCCAAAACTGTGATTTCTACATAGAAAACAAGCAAAAGACTTAGAATCTCTATGTCCTGATTTCAGTGAAGACCCCTGCAATTGGATAGTGGCTGGTCCTTGGTTGAAATTTTGTTTGATCTTGGACTATGTTGAAGTGGTAACTTTGTTTCAAGGAGCTGTTTTTGTTAAATGCTTCGCTTACAGGCACTTGTTAATTGTTGGTCATCTTATTGTTCAGAGTAACTTGCAACAGGTGATTGTTCCTTTATAAGTCATTCTGACAGGCCACATAGTAAAGTGTAATTTTTTAAAATAAAACCACAATAAAAAATCAGTCTACTTAATAATGACGAAAGCAGCAATAAAAATGTGGCAGAGGCACAGACAGTTTGAAACAGAAACAATAATGCTTGTGTTAAAACTTGCGTAGTTACAGCTTTCAGACACATTTGGGTGAAGAACTGTATAAAATTTTGTGCTATCTCTGCTTGGGAGGAGAGGGGTATAGTTAAGGCATATATTTGATCAGGGTACATTTTCCCCATTTCTGGGTCTAAAATTTATCAAAGTCAGATTTAATGGCCAGATGCACAACTTTACAAAAAAGTGTTCACAATTTTTTTTTACTCATTACAAATAACTGCTTTCCTGCATATGGATTTAAAATTATTTTTCAAAATCCTGATATTTAATAGCCCACTCAACTTCTGGAATCGTAAAATTTAAATAAAACAAAAAAGGGAGGGGAATGGATGACCTTAAGGGAGCAGATTCCCTGCCTTCAAAGAAGGGCAGGTATATATGGACTTATGTTGCTGCTACTGTTCTGGGTATTCTGATTAGCTAATAAAAACCTAATTAGATTTGCTGACATCTAAAGGTGGAGATCTGACTCCCCCCCCCCCCATCCAACACTTTAAATTTGAGCCAAAGCTCGGCTCCTATACCAGTTTTACCACCAAAGCTCAGCCTAAGAACATGTTAAGTAACAAATGGCCTTGGAGAATGTAAGTGCAGAGTGCCCTTTCTAATGAGTGTAAGTTAACCAGCAATTAACATGAAAATCATATTGAAACCCTACTTTTAAGTTTTTTGTTCTGTGATTCTTTAACACAACTGGTTAAAGCATTTTTAAAAAATCACCACATTTTAATGTGTCAGTTCCTGGCACCTTGGTACATGCTCCAAGTGGCAAAACACAAAATGAAACTTTGCAGGTTGCTTCTCTCCATGCAACCTTCAGAGCTTAAATTAGACGTAGTCTTCTGCCTCAGTACTCCTTTTCAATGCAGTAACTTACCCAAAATTGGGCTAATTGTCTTTCATTATGACTATAACCAGCCCACACTCCCTAATAAGAGGCCACAATGAAACACACTGTAAGGGTAGGCGTACATATTTGTTTACTGCTCCAGAAAAAGCTAGAATTTTGTGGCATTTTAAGGCTAACAGTTTTTATTCTAATATAAGAATTTGTGAGCTAGAACCAGAAAACTGTGTTAGAATAAATATTTCTTAGCCTTAAGTTGCCACAATAGTCCTGTTTGTAAGGGAAGATAATTTACAGTTCCCTTCATGCAGATTGACTTGGTCTCTGAATAAGTAGAAGACAATCCAACACTATTTTCACTTAATATAATGACTTGCATAACAATAATGACAGAGGGCCTACAGAGAGGTGGGTCAAGGAAAGGATAACCAAGGATTGGAAGGAAACAGTTGGGGCAGAAAGTGTATAAGTGATTGGGAAGGGTACACAGGTAGGGGACCTATAAGAACGGAGGACAGGGAAACATGGTGTTGCTTGAAAACAGAACAGTTTGCAATACTCCCTGTTGTCTCTTAAACAGGGATAGTCAATATGCCAAGCAGGAAGAGTTTTAAGAACAGATAATTGGAACAGATCCAGATAGGCCTTTGCAATTGGGTGTGAAAGTTACAAATAAAAAGTGCCATTCGGAAATCAAAGCAGGGGACTTTTGGCAAAAGTTCTGTATAGTGAAAGTTTATTTGCCCTATATTGAGCTTGTGCAGTGTCATTTGTTAGGGGATGATCTGCAAATTAGAGACAGTACTAGTTGGGCAGGTTATATCCATGCCCGTGGAAGTCTTTAGAAGTGAGTGCTGTATTAGAGCAAAATTTTCCCATTTAGTTTACTGTTACACTGGGTGGAACATTTAATGGTTTTCTTTTTCATCCTTCCATGTTATGAAATGCCTTAGTTCTATATATAAAGGAATGTGTGTTCTAACAAAATCATTAGGTATTCAGTTACTTCTTGTATATTACAGGCACAAATATTACCAGTCCAATGTAAGATGTTTTTTGGGGTAGAAATTTTGACACTTAACTCTGATTTTCCTAATATGTTCTCTCACCCATAAGTATGGAGACATAGGTATTTGGAAGTGACAGTTCCTAGTTGCTTTCTAAGTGTTTTTCGAAAGCAGTGTAACATTCAGCTCAGGGGAAAAGTCTGAAAATACTATTTTTGTTTTTATATAATTCAAAGGAAGGTGACATTAATCATGGTGGGCCTTGATAATGCTGGGAAAACTGCAACAGTGAAAGGAATCCAAGGAGGTAAGTGGCATCTTTATTCCAGACTTTCTCATCCTGTATTAAAAAGAGCTTTTTTAAAAAGGTCCTGGAAAGTATTACTTTTCCAGGGGAATTGCAGAGAACTAGGCATATTAGACTAGGCAAATTCATTTAATCATGAAGTTCCAGTGTAGCAACTCCCCAGGGCCATTTCAGGTTGGGAAAATGGCACAGAGGAGGAGGCCTAAGCCCACTTTCCCTGCATAACTTGTTCCCTTGCACTTGGGAAACATAATTCGGACCATTCCTGATAAAGTTCTGTAGTAAAATTAGGTCCTTACTGGATGACCTTGTGCCCTTCACACACTCTTTTTGTTCAAATCGTCACACAGAATTGTTGTGAGGAAAGACTAGAGAAGAGAATCACAAATGCCACCCTGAATTCCAATGAATAAGGATGGGGCAAATATGTAACAGATGCAAGTAAAATCTTCCTCTTTTACTGAAAAGTCAGAGGTACCTCCATGTACACATCCTTGTTTAGTACAGTTTTGTCTTTGACATGGTACAGAGTGGTAAGTCGTTTCTGGGCTTAGGGTTCATTCATGCACATCCAAAGAGCTCCTGAATCAAGACTATTGTGCATATCCTTACAGAGGGAAAACAATTTGTTGGGAAGTTAAAGTATCATATTTATCCTGTGTTGTAAAATGGGTTACTTGGTAGTATTTGTGAGGTCTGAGCAATTGCAGACATAGAATTGTTTGAACTGTAACAAAGAAGAAATCATAGTATTTTGGGTTAATTAGCATTTTACTTTTTAACATTTGATAGAAAATCAATGCTTTCCCTTGCAGTATATGCTAAAACTACTGTTTTCTGAAGCCCAGTAATGTATATATATAGTAAATTTGACAAAAAGCAATGTTGTAGGTATAACTTTTTTGATGACATTGACTTGCGATTTAATTAGGAAAACAGTCCAAGACGGAAATTGTGTGCATGTAACAAAGTGTGATTCTAATTATTCTTCCGTATCTCTATTTGCAGTTATATAGGAATCAGCAATTTGCTATATCTCTCTTATCCCTGCCACCTTAAAATCCCTCTTGACAAAATTTCTCTGTCAGCTGCTGTAAAATAGCATTCATGCACCCAGGCTCTGCATTGGATGAAACTTGCATTTGGGACTAGTGGTAATGAACTGCCTTCTTAATTAATGGAAATTAATGATGCACCCAAATACATAATTATGAGACAATCTGATCTAGCAGTTTTTCAGCTGCAAAAGAAACTTTTATCAACTTTCCTCATCATCTTCATAACATTTATTCTGGTATCTTGCTTCTGATCTTTGTATGGTCTATATACTTAACTTCTAGTTGTATTGTAAGATGACATCTTAAATTATTTTAGTTTTCTACTACTTTATATTGAAGGTCACAGTTGGTTGGGTTGTAATTCATAAAAGGTCAGACTGTTATATAGTTAATGTGTTCAGCACCTTCTGTTTTATTTTTAAAAATTCATGTAAAATGCCACAGCTAAACGTTCTTATACCCAACCCAAACTCTTTCAGTCCACTCTAAAATATAATTAACTGTCATTATAGAGGGTATTTGTGTTGGTCTGCAGTACAACAGCTAGATTCAAGTCCAGTAACTTAGAGACAAAGAAGATGTTTGGGGTAGAAGCTTTTAAGAGTCAAAGCTCCCTTGGTCAGATAATTAACTATGAGACCAATCCTGAGCAGGGCTACTGAGAATACTACTCAGTTCTGTTCAATGGAGCTTACTCCCAGGAAAGTGTTCTTAGGATTGCATTGTAAGTTATATAATGTTGGTGACCTGGGTGGAATTGGGAGAAGCAGATGGTGTGAAGGTTGGGGGTTTAAAATGCCGTTTAAAACGAGATAGCATGCTGTGTAGTTTGACCATTGTGGTCAGTATCCCAACCACCATTGGACAGACAGGCCGTAATGTGATGTCTGAAAGCAGTCATTCCAGCTGAAGTTTGAAGTAAAGAGGGGGGACATTTGTTAACTTTCTTGGATGAGATAAGGTTATTCAGTAAAGGGGCTTGCTGGGCTCACAAAGGTATAATGTTTCAGTTAACAAGGTAGCAGTGCAGAGAGCAGTGATCAGCCCAGCCTTGATTTGTGAGGTGGATCTTTGGACTTTTCCCAACCTTAGGAACTTCAGAGTAAAAGTGTGAGCTTCTTGTGGATATTCTAATAACTTAGCCTGCTGTCCCTGAAAACCAGACTCCAAGATGGCACACTCTCCTTTTTTTAAGCGTTCACTTAAATTAGCCTGCTTTATCACAAAAGCCACGCTTTGAGACCTATAAAGTCTCCTGAGAAAGGATTTATTTTAACCTACTCCTATCTCAGACCTTGGTAATTCTGAGAACCAGGCTGCTGTGTGACCTGAGGTTTGCTCATGGCACCTAGAGCTCTGGTGGTTCTTAGCCTGTAAACTCTGTTACAGAATTATAAAGGAGGAGGGTGGAAAGGGGGAGTCAGCTGTTAAAAGGAATGTCCTGGAAGGATTCTCTAAAGAAGGTCTCTTCAGAATTTGAACAGGCTGTTTTACCCTTTTCTTTTTATTGACACTCAACTGTTCTCAACATTCTGGAGCCTATTTAGTCTTCATCAGGTTACTTTCCTTTTGGTTAATTTAATTTGGTTAGGTTACAAATGTTTTGCTGAATACCTGGGGACTCCCCTCCGGTAGGCAGAAACCTCTACTCCAGATTGTCTGGAGACATGGGCTGGGATGCAGATGACACCCAGCTCTATCTGTTGTTGGGCGGCCAGTTTGATTAAACTGGAAGATCTGGACTGAGCATTACAAGATGTGGCTGAATGGCTTACACTGAGCAGATTGAAATTGAATCTGATGAAGGTAGAGGTCCTGTGCCTGAGCTAAGGTAGTCCAAGGGTAGGGATTCCACTGCTGACCTTCGATGGGGGCACCGCTGGTGCCAGCGCCAGAGGTTAGGAGTGCTCTTGGATGCCTCCTTAACAATGGAGACCCAGGTAGCAGCCACTGCCAAGTCAGCCTTTTACCATCTTCGGCTGATTAGGCAGCTGGTTCCCTTCCTCGAACACAACGACTTGGCAACAGTAATCCATGCGATGGTCACCTCGAGGCTGGACTACTGTAATGCTCTCTACATGGGGTTGCCCTTGTCTCAAATCCGGAAGCTACAGGTAGTGCAAAATGTGGTGGTCATGGTCTTGATGGGCCTCCCTATGCGGGAGCACATCCAGCCTGTACTGAAAGCATTACTCTGGCTGCTGATAGCATACTGAATTCACTTCAAGGTGCTGGTTTTGACCTTTAAAGCCCTTTATGGTCAGGGGCCTACATACCTTTCCCCGCATGTCCCCCAGAGAGCACTGCATTCAGATCCTAAAATCGACTAGCCCTCCCAGGTCCCAAAGATGCCAGGCTGGTTACAACTAGGGCCAGGGCTTTTTCGGTGGCGGCTCCGTTCTGGTGGAACGAGCTTCCAGAAGAGATCAAGGTCCTGCGGGACCTTTTACAGTTCTGCAGGGCCTGCAAGACAGAGCTCTTCCACCAGGCCTTCAATCATGGTGCTGCCTCCAATGTATAGCGCCCTTTCCCTTGGCTTTTTACCATCAACAGCCTGTGCCCGCCGCATTAACGAATTAATCAATGAGCTGACTACTAAGAAAGACCTCTGAACATACCATCAGGATTGTACCGCCATCTCTAAATTATATTAGTATAGATCTATCATTCACTAGCACTTTATATATTGGACTGTTTTTAGAAGGTTTTACATGAAACTGAGCAAACTTCAGAGGACAGCGGAAGACAGGAGGGCCTGGCGGGATCTAGTCCATGGGGTCATGAAGAGTCGGACTCGACCGTGTGACTGAACAACAAAAAATTGTTTACAACTGTTGATACTGTTATCTATGTGTTTTATATTTTGTGTAAGCCGCCCTGAGCCTGCTTCGGCAGGGAGGGCGGGGTATGAATCGAACAAATAAATAAAATAAATAAATATATGCTTGGCCTGGCTTTAGTTTCATTATTCTAACCAGGCCCAGCCAGTTTACTATTAGGTGTAACTGTGATAGAAAGTTGGACAATACATTATAGTAAATTTGTGTTCCCCCATATAAATTTTTATCCAGTTACCAAAAGCAGAGCTCTGCTGACTTTTCTGCTGCATCTTCCTGCACCCTTCATAAAGCTGCTCCTGGTGTTTGAAACTCCATAATGGTGTTGCGTCTGGCAAGAGGAGGGATGGGAGACTGAAGCATAAATTCTCTCTCCCTCCTTTATGAACAGAAGTGCTTTTAGTAGTCAATAGTGATAGTAGTCATGATAATGCATGATGGAAGCAGAATTATTTTTAACTTATTTTCTTTGAATATAAGGTTATAAACGGCAATTTCTCATAATTTGTTTTGTTGGGTGTTTTCTTCCAGAATCTCCTGAGGATGTGGCTCCAACAGTTGGCTTTTCTAAAATTGACCTTAAACAAGGACGTTTTGAAGTCACCATCTTTGACTTGGGAGGTGGAAAGCGAATCCGGGGTATTTGGAAGAATTATTATGCTGAATCCTATGGGGTGATATTTGTTGTGGATTCCAGTGATCTGGACAGAATGGAAGAAACAAAAGAAACCATGTCAGAAGTTCTAAAGCATCCGAAGGTATCAGGGAAACCTGTATTAGTGTAAGTAACATTTTTATTAACTACTAATACTAATACTAACAGTATTTTTTCTTAAAAACATTTAGATTTTGTGAAACATCCTTTTTTCTAAGCTGTCTTTGAAGCAGATTTTTCCCCTGAGATTCACACATCAGTGAAATTAAAGTGTATTATTTATTATTGAATTTAATTGGAAATGATGGGGTCGTCCTTGCAGACTGACTTTCTATCAAAACTCCACTGAAATGACTGTGACATCCACTTTCTGTTCTTATCTTCCAGTACTACTTTCAGTAGCACTGTTTTATCAAATGAAACATTAAACACTTCATAAGAATAGCATAAGCATGTTGCTGCTGATTTGTTAGTATTAATGAGATACACATCTTTGACACAAGAGGGTGCAAGCAAAGCATTTTCAGGACCGAGTTTCTCAGAACTGTAGTAGTCCCAATGGATTTCACAACAGTTAAGTGTATCTACATATCTAATCCTTTTACCAGGAAATGTGCACAGAATAGTTGGATAGCATCAAATATTATGTGCTTAAAAGTGTAAATGGTTTATATATCTTTGTACAATAAATTTTTATCCTGCATATCCTTCAAGGATCTCTGGTGGTGTATAAGGCTCTTCCTTTCCAGTTTTATCGTCTTATCTTTATACGTATCTTTCACTTTCCCTTTCAAACCAAAAGAGCAACTGTAGCAGAACTGTGCCTAATATTGCCAAGTCCCTGCTGGGGGTGGGAGATCCCCTGCCCCCAACTCCTGTTGCCTGTCAATGCTCTAGCAGCTGGCAGGAGAAAAATAAAGTAAAAAATGCTTTTGGCACAACAGTGTTATGTTGCTTCCAGGAAAAGTCCCAGAGTAATGTCATACAGTTCCTAAAAAGGCATGATGTTCCTAGGAATCAGCAGTGCCTAGAGAAGCACAACATAACTCACTTCTGGGTTTTCCCCAGAAGTGATGTAACATCACCATGGTGATGGTGTCCCCCATGTCCTCCTCCCCTTGCTCCTGGCAGTTGTCAGCCAGTGACTGGCAGTTATAATTGTGCCCTGTGTTTTCAGTCTGTTGGTGAGTGTCATATAGCACTTAATTTACAGTAAATATATTTTCAGGGAAATATGGAAGTATATTTTAACGGAATAAGTACGAATTTCTAGCAGATAAAGCTTTGTATTATATCAGTTTCCTTGATTACTATAGAATCAGGATGAAGATTCTTTTATAGTAACTGGATAGTTTTTGTTTGGAGTGATTGCACTCTACCTGCCAGTTGTCAATTTAATAAAAAAAACACCTGTTAGTTATTTTAAAAAAGATTATTCTCTTGATGTTGCTGTTTACATCCTTTATAGGTCACTTAAAATGGTTAGGTGTGAAACAAAAGAAGTTATGTTTGTAGGCTGTTTCTTGAAGTTGATGGTAAAGTTAGAATGAATGATTCTGTAAGAGAATAGATAATTTACTTAGTACAGCACCACAGTCCAGAATTAGAGCTTATTGCCTTCACTGAATATTTCCTGAAAGTCTGAGGTTTTCACTGTTAACAAATGAGAGAATATTTAAATCTCTCTGAAGGCCACATATCTTAGTGTTTACCAATACCAAACATTAATTTAAAATTTTCCAAGTGACAGTACATATGGTTTGTTGTGCTTATTCCTTGAACTACAGCAACAGATAATTAAAACTTTATTCGAAAACTCATTTCCACTACGTTACTTAAGAGCCATTTAAGCCCCTGCTTCCTGCCACTCAGCTGTTTTCCCCTGGAGATCCTTGCTTTCTGCTCCCCATGGAAAGCGGCAGGGAGCAGAAAGTAGGGATCACAAACCATTTCAGTTCACGAACCAACCTCCCAGTTCGTATTGGTTAGTGACTTGACCACAAAATGAAACAAACTCCAAAAATGTGGTTCATGCCCATCCCTATTGCTGAGAGACATTTCAGTAAAAACAATTGCTGAAAATAATAGGTGCCACAATGAAATTTCTGGTTTTATCAATATAATTTTAGACTGCTCCATTTTGTGTACCATTAATTGCCTTCAATGGGTCTTTTTGTGGGCATTTTTTTGTTATTAACTTGTATTTTTTATTAATATGGTTTGTTTATATTTTTGTTTTATTATGAGTCACCTCAAGTAGGAGTGGTGGTGTACATTTGCTGTAAATAAATAAAAAGTATGTTCATATATACCATTCAGTACTGTCTTTCCCCGTCCCAATACAATGTATCTTGTGATAACGGCATATATACCTTCATATTAGTAATCATGCTTTGGCCCTTATTTGAGATGCAACAGTGGCGGGGGCTGAATGTGTCTTAAATTGTAGATACTGTCTGTTGTTTGTTTAATGCTTCTCTTAAAACCTTTTTTTTTTTGCAAGTGACTTAAGTAAACAAATAAATCGATGTTAACTGTGTAGTTTAGAGATTCTAACATGTAAACAGTAGTGGGTCTTTTGTCAGGCTTACTATGTGATGAGTTTTTAGGTAATATGAACCACAGAAAGAAACCTTAATTGTTCCCAGGCAGCTATGCCACCTTGAAGGCCTTAGAGTATTCTGAAACTGATGAATGCCATGTAAGGAGTCTGCCTATAACAAACCCTCAAGTTTAAGATCTTGACAGATAGTAAGGATAGTATGATGATAAGGAATGTTTGCAGTAAAGACTAAGTTTCTGAAGGTCTAATGTTTACTGTATCTGTTGCATTCAGGACCCACATTTAATCCAAAACAGCAACAGGGGCCTCACAAATATTTGTTTTAACGGCATGTTTCTGTCTGACTTGCCTCTCTCCTTTCTAGCTTGACTAAATAGAAGGAAATGAATTCTATTAAGTGCAAGTTTGTTCTGCAGAGATGATTTAATGTAAAGTTCTGTTTTTTCCCCTTTGCATCTGATCATCTTCCTTGCTCTCTCTTTTTAAAATCTTCAGTTCTTCCGTGCTGTCTCTCTTTTTAAATCTTCTTCTAAGGGAGGGGGTAAAATGTGGTACTCTCACTAGTGTGACCCTTTAGGTTGACATGGAGCTACTTCTGGTTCCTACCCACCTGTTGAAGACCAATGATCTGTGTATGCATTTTCTTTTTAAAACGGATCTTGAATAAACATATTTAGGACCGATTAGAAACTCATTACTTCCATGCTTTCTAGTTGTAAAAACAACACACAATGTGTTGGTTAATTACATTTTGATTAAGGGAATTCTAGGAATTGTTGTGATATGAGCTATTGAAATTATTTTTCAGTACCTACTGAAAGATTTGGGGTGGGCTGAGATTTATTGTATGTTATTTTCTTCATATGTACCCCACTTTCCTCCCCAGTGGGGACCAAAATGACAGTGATGTGGGTTATTCAAGAAAAATTGAATTGGAAAATTTTCCTATTTAAATTTAAATAATTTCAATTTTTTAATTCTGTTAGCAAAATGTAAATATTCACAAAAGGGGGCAAATACACCGTGAACAAGCCTGAACCTTGAACAAATATGAGTTTGTCCACGTTTCATATTCCACGTCTAGCTCATCTAACATGACTGCGCACAACAACCCTGACAATTATAGATGAACAACCTAATTTATGTATGTGGGGTGTAAAAGTTTCCACTGAAAAATATAATATTGGAAAACTTTCTGTACCACATCACTGGTAACTCATAACATTTTCCCCTTCTTCATCTTACTCCCACAAAGTCCTGTGAGATAGGTTAGGCTGAGAGTGTGTGACTAAGGTCACCTAGCTTCCCATAGCACAGTGAGGATTCGAAACTGGGTTTCCCATGCAGTGTTCCCTCTAAGCTGAGTTAGTGTGAGCTAGCTCACAGTTTTTTAGCCTCTGGCTCACACATTTTTGTCTTAGCTCAGGAAAGATGGCTCCAGAGCAAACTAATTTGTGCAGTATAGCCAAATCACCTGCTCACAACTTTAATGCCAGTAGCTCACAAAGTAGAACTTTTCCACACAGGACTCCACAGCTTAGAGGGAGCATAGCTCCCATGTCGTAGTCTGACACTTTAGCTACCACACCATGTTAGCTTTCAAGTTTTATTGAAATGAAGTTATGACTTACAGTTCTAGGACTTCTATGAGATAATGTTTTAGTATAGTGGCATGTAGTTTGAATCTTCGTAACAGAGATGGATGTCAAGATCAATTAGTATTATTCTAGAAAGTGTGAACTGTAGCACGTTTCATGAACCACAGCTTCATGAAACCTGTGAGGCATCATGGTGGCTCAGACTCATAGGTCACCGTCACAGCAATGGTTCAGAATCCACCCTCAACTGAGTCAATACTAGAATTGTTACACATCAGCCTTCTCTACCCTGTAAAGCACATGCACCTAATCTGTTTGTATATTTACGTGTTGAATATTGACAGTATACAAATCAGTGTTTCTTTAAAAAACACACACACCAACAATTATCCAAACTAATGAAGATCCGTTTTGTCTCTTTTCATCTTGTGCAGAAGAATGACAGGAAACCAGATCTGATGAGGGAATGGAACAAAGTATTTTTAAGTATAAATACCTTTGATAGCTTTAGTTAATGTAAACTGGGAGCAAACAGTTTTTAATTCAAGTCTTATTGACTTTGTTCCTCTAGTTTGTCCTGGCGTGGCAACATCCTGTAACGTTAGTTTCACATGCTAATACAGCACATATTATGATTTTGATCTAACTTGTGGAAGGTTACTTTGATTGTTAGCATCTATGGAAATAATTACCAGTTTTAGAACTAAGAAGTGAGCACACGCTCTATACAGAATATTGGACAGCCCTATCCTCATTCTTTCTTATTTCGCATGAGCTCTGTTGAGCCTCAGAATACACTAATTACTTATATGGTTGTATGTATTGGCTGTGTACTCTAAAACTAGTAATCTTTTTAAAGCCATAAGCTCGTACATGCAAGTACATCTGTTATAGTCACACAGTGTATGAACATGGCCCTCTAAATGGAACTTGCTGTGAAGATCAGTGGTTGAATACGAGAACAA